AGCGTGGCAATTATTATCAAAGCGGAGCACGATCTATTCTAGTTATTTGTTTGTCAATGCATATATGTTACATACAAATATAAGCCTTAGTGTAGTGCGAATAAGAAAAAGTTTCGTTTACCTTGTATGTTGTATGTGCATATAGGCAGAGACAACGTCTAGCGGCTAGTCCATGCTTGGTGAGTCTACTGTACAAGTCACAGCGTGTAAGCGCCAAGCGGATCTAACATCGAACTAGACCGTACGACATAGAGGGCCCATGTTGGCCACAGGCCGCCAACAACAAACATTTGGACCAACATCGACACATCAACGATCTCAAAACTGCAAGTTTACCTTATGAGTGCAGCTCTCCACAATGTGGCAGGTGAAATGAAAGTTACTTTTGGAGTATAGATACTTTATTACTAAAGTTTAAAGAGACAAGAAGCGTTAGAAATAACGAATTAACAGTATCAGTTGATAATACCGAGTTAGATAGCAGCGAGATCTCATGCTTTGCTATGGTTGTCTTTATATTAAGTGAGTCACTATCGCCGTGTACCTACTACAAGCTTTATTTAATTAAATTTTTGAAAAAACGTATTTTTATATTTAAATCTAAGTTGTTGGTGTACACCAAGACACGAATATTCATCCATAGTTTAAGTATAATAGTTTATTTTGTATTCTATCTTCTTTAAGTCTTAGCATTGATAGCAGGCATGACTTTAGATCTACTAGTGGTGCATTATATTAAAGTTTCAATACACAAAGGTTTTATTTAATATTAAGTATATACTTAGCATATAAACATATATTAAACTTTACCACAAAACATTGGACCGATAATTAAATTTGCTTGAGATACCTTGGTGAGGAAGAAAGAAATAAAATTAGAATGAGATGGAAGACCAAAGAATAGTGGACAGTTGTGTAGTGTAGAGGAAAGTGCTTTGGTAAAATTGCACAACGCGGGAACCAACCCAGGTGGTACAATTTACCGAAGCACACATAGTATATAAATTAAAACATAGATTTTTATAGTAAAAAGTTTCCGATACGATACATGCAAGATTAAAAAAAAACTATATAAATGTGCCATAAAACATACATATCTACCGTCTGCAAAATCGATGTTTATGTCTAGAAAAATATGAGCATAGCGTTTGTGTTTTGTAGTTGTGGCCGACACATACAGACGAATCAAATCCGCCAACTACTTATGTATAAAACACAACGAGCTTCTAGAGTAAAAAGAGACATCATCTAAAACTAATTTTAATAAATTTCACATCTATATAAATAACGCATTCCTTCAATAAACAATAACAACAAGAAAATAAGGAAAACAAGAACAAACAAGCAAATTTAAATATCATCTTATTATTATTAAATACGTTTATAAAAGCACTTGAATAGCACAAATTGTGTATTTTGTAGTTTTTTTTTTCTCATAAACTATTTACTTTTTATTATAATATATAAAAATGGCACATGAATTTATCCGTATTTTATACTTTTATTTAAATTTTAACACACAACAGTTATTATTTTTTTAAACATATTTATTAATTACAAGGAAAGGATGAGTTTTAGATTTTTTTTATATATTTACAGAAAAAAATTAACACGTTTATATATCAATTTAAAATATATCAGAAAGTTTTTTTTTATTATATATACCGGTCGTAAAATAATTTGCTCAAAATCTAATATACTCCATGTAAACAGAGGTGCACCATAGTTACAATTTAAATCTAACTTTTTAATATATTTTGCGAATCATCTAATGTTTTACTTATATTTTAATAAACAATTCTTAACTATCTACTGCATTTACACTATTAAGAGATTTCAAAAATGTGACTATTATTCGTTTTAGACTTGAATAAGTTTAGCGAAAAACTGTTATTAGTCATTATTATATATTTAGAATATTTCGTTTGATTGTTATGTTTTAGTTTATTAAATGGCAGTAGTTTGAGTCCGTGTTTACTAGTTAGCTTCACTTTAGTGTCGTTATTATTATTATTATTAATTGGGGCATTTAATCATCGCTCTGATGCGATACCGGGCTGAGAGCGGGCAGGGAGCTGCCGCCAGATTGCACGCTGATCCTTCGGTGCTCCGCCAAATAATTATTGACAAATATCCTGCGACCGGCCAATATGTCCGCCTTTTGCTGCAAAACAAGATGACGGACGTGTCAGTGCCCGGCACCCTCCTAACTAGCTCACCAGCTGTCGCCGGCACTAGCCAACGTTAGCACGTGGAAACTCGCCAGCAGCGTTCCAAAATCAAACGGTATCGTCACAGTTACACACAATCCACTTAGAATAATAATCATCATTTGGCTTTAGAACACCACAACTACATATAGTGAAGAGATAGCTATAGATAACTATGGAAATATTTGTAGGAAGCAGTCTCTTTAGTAAAGTGCCTAACTTGAACTAGGAAAGGGGCATTCACTAGCTGGGTCGGGGTCGAGGGCATCCAGTAGCAATACTAAGTATATAAACAAAATAATAATATGAAAATATAGTATAAATACCGTGAGGGAACTACTGCTACTCAGAATGATAAAAAAAGGTCCGGTATGTGAGCTACTTCGCGATATTTGCATTCGAAATTTGAGCGGCTTTCTATCAACGTGTTTGAGGTACAAATAAAATTCAAATATTTTTTGTCAAATAAATACTTTTATTATAATGAGTTTTATTTTCTATAGTGATTTATAGTGCCGGTTAAGTATGTATTAGGTATTTAACAATAAAACGTATCGTTACATTAAAACTCAAAAATAAATAAAATATTACGAAAATCAACTTATTACATAAGTACATACACAACCGAGTTAATGAAAAAACAAAATTAAAAGAAAAAATTAAGTGAATTATGTAAGAGCCGTTTTGTTTATCATTTTTATATTGTATAATATAATGTATAACACTTAGTTCGCTAATTTTGGTGTAATAGTGGAGATGATATCCGTTTATGCGTTGACTTTACTTTCATGAATCTTTATATATATTTTATCTTATCGTCTACAGTGTTAAAAAGTTTTGTAAGTTAGTTATCGTGGTTGTATATAACCATTTTTATTATACGCTCAACTGTTATAACAGTAATAAAAATGAAAAATTCGGATATAAAACCTTTCTTTGAGAATCTGATAATATTTTGTTAATATGTAGAATGTGAAAACTATATTATCAGAAGCTCTTGTTACAAACATCTACTAACATTAACAATAATTAAAAAAGGAAAAAAATTACAAATTGTGCAATACTCACAGACATCAGTTTACATGCAAAACACTGTAATATAAGCATGATCACACTGTAAATGCGAAGCAAAAATAATTAAAAAGTAATATAAAAAAAATTAAAAATCAAAGAAACAACATTTTGTACCAAAACAATATACATTTTGCTCCATTATTGATGCTTAATACTTACAAACTAGAAAAGGCGGCCATCTTGTTGACAGTGACGTCACAAGATGGCCGCTTTAGGTCTCACCTTTAATGGTGTACGTAACGGCTTATTGAATGATATACAACTGTTTTTCGATATAAGACCAAACTAGTGGTAATAATATATAGTTTCTGGAACAAATTGAATTAGTATAAATGTATACTAGTATTTGTGTTAAGCTTAGGTTTTGTTTAAGCTATATCTAGTGCGTAGAACAGAGGATATGATTCAATAATGCCAAGGAGACCGAAGACGCCGGGCAGCCAAGTGCAGACACCACTTATTCCATGCTCTAATCAACTTATTGGTTCAACGTGTACCTACATTATCCGACAATACTTACAAGGGTACGCTCCCTATGCTTCAGACCTAAACTTACCGTCAACATCTGAAATAGAGCGTATGGGCTAAATGGCCACCCCCACCAGAACAAAGACAGGCGAAAAAAAATGCTATGGAATTTGCTTACAATTTATTTTTCAATGTAAATATTTTATTTTGTTTTTTTTTTCTCGTAACATTTCGCAAAAACCAAGAAGTTTTGTATTATATATATATAGATATAGTACACTTTCTCTTAGAGCTCTTTCGGTTTCTTTTTAAGCGTGAAGTGTCTCATTCATACTAAACTTTAGGCATATACATAAGAATCTATGTAAGTTTTAATTAATTAATATTAAGTGATTTATTTATAGACAAATTATTCGTCTCATTACCGATATACAACGAAGATAAAGATCTCAAAGATAGATAGGGGTTAAAAGTGGTCCCAAAATTTACTATGAAACAAAACACACAAGCTGCCAAGTACCCTCAATATCTCATAGTATTTTTATAATTAATATTTTTCTTGTAACAAACTACTTACACAAAAAGCTAAGTGACGAAGTTCAAAACTTTCAAAAGATTTTTTTATATTTATAAGTAATTATTAATTAATATTTTTTTTTCGTAAAATTTCGAAGTTCAAGGATTATTAAAAAGTTTACAATTTAAATTGGAGTTTCATCATTTAGTTTATAGTATAGTATAGCTACCTATACAAAATATCACTGCTCCGATATTAATAAAAAGACGTTCAGAAGATTAGCAAGTTATGTACAAATATGTTGATCTCTAAAATAGCAGTGTTCATCCATAATGACCGGTAGAAAGAGTCGTATATGGTACGTATAAGAAACAGGGGTCCCGACACTAACTTATGCTCACTTGTCAACTATTAAAATATGCAAACACTCGTCTATTGGAACGTTAACATCAACAATACTATGGTCTGACAATGTACAGTACAGGCACGATTCGGTCTAGGAGCCTAACATCGGGCCGCCAACATCGTCTAGTAGTTTATTGCTCTATCAACTACCTAGCACTAAAAATTTCAACACTTAATAAAAATTCTTAACGTACTAAATTAAGAGTCGATTAATCATTAAAGCGTAAACACGAGACTGAAACGAGATAGGGCGCGGTGTAGCGATGAGATTACGCGGGAGATTGCGGCGTTAAGTACGATCGACGGCCGGGCCGCCGGAACAAAGGAAAAAGTTGCATAGAATAAAAATAAAACGTCTAGAGTGCGTTCTCGTGGTCGGTCGGTTGGGGTCGGGGCGGGCGGCGAGCTCAGAATATGGTGGTCTCGGTGCGCGGCGCGGCCGGCACGTCGTCGGCGTCGATGTAGGCGATGTCGGGCGGCGGGCCGCGCAGGCGCGAGCGCAGCCCGGCCGCCGAGTGCGCCGACAGACGCTCCTCCAGGTCCTCCAGCGTGGACTTGAAGGCGCGCACCACGCGCAGCTGCAACAACACGCCGTCAGCCGCCGTGCCCGCCCGCCACGCCTCGCTGCCACGCCTCGCTCCCACGCTCGCCTCGCCCCGCCCGCGCGGCTCCGACCACCGATATCAAAGAGTGTGGTGTGGATGTTCTTTGTCTACCCTGACCTAGCCGGTTGTCTGTATTCAGAGTTCGGGGACGATGGGACGCTACGTCGTGGCTACGACATGCAACTAGTCGAGAGACCTCGTGGCTAACTATGCACTACCGAAGTGACGATGGCACGATGAGTGAGTCCGGTGCTGGGGAACGGTGGGCGCCATGCTCACAGCTAACTAATACAAACAAAAGAACTAAGGTGCTGCGATAAACTGCTAAAACAAACACGTGGCTAATGACTGGCTGACTGGAGACAAGAGAGTGACATCACAAAGCGGGACGAGTCGGGGCGACGTGCGGAGGTAGCCCGTCGCGGACACAGGGTGCTGACGGCACTGGGGGACAGGGCGAGATCTACAGCCAGAAGTCGTGGGTAGATGCATAACAGACGAGAAAACAGAACTATTGAAATGCTAACGGTTACTCGACGACACTACTCGCTTTGTATCTACAAATCACACACATCTATGGTTTGCACATTCCATTCCAATCGCTTCAGTGCCATTTAGTTTCGGCATCAGCGGTCCGGGAGCGAACCGAGCGAGACTGTCGGGCTCGGGAGCTAGCGTCTGAGTGAGGAGGGAGATGGCGCAGGAGGAGGGATGGGTGCGGTGCGCGGCGAGTGTACCGTCAGCGTCCGGCAGCGGCGGCGCGGGCGGCGCGGCCGCCACTACACCTCGGTCTCCAGCACGGGGCGGGGCTGCCAACAACATCTCTCTACGACGCGCGGCTCCACGCCCCATTCGACACCGTCCTACGTGCGCAGCCCTAGCTTTACAACTGCCGCCGGACAGATATGGCACGGTCGCGTGCCACGTCGCACTATCACGTCATAATGGCGTTGCGACGAGCGTTGCTGACGTCACTTCGTCTTCGTGTTACGATTGTGACGTCATCATCTCAGTGTAGGACATTAGTCATGCAGTCTGAGGGAGTGCATACTGGTTTGGTAAAAGGTTTGATGTGGCAATTAGATTGATTACGAATAAAAATAATTTTATTTAATTTTTGTATCATTTTTAACTAAACTGCATTTAACAGCTAAAATAAGTTTTTTTTTTATAAATAGATTTTTTCTAATTAAATTCATTCAAAAATTTGTTGCTAAAAATATTTATAAAAATTTAACGCAACAAAAAATAAGTGATTAATGAGATGATGAGGTCAAAATGATGGTAATCAATTATGCAATTGAAATTGGACAAACATCCCGTGTTCCATATCTGTCCCAGCCGCAAGCAGGCCAACACGGAAAACAGACCCTTTATTAAAAGAAAAAAATCAGGAAATAAAACGAAATGGAACAATAGTGTATCGTGTATATTGATGCGTGTATGGGCCGGGGTAGGCCAGTGTCGCGTGATACGAATATGACCCGAAAGAGTGCCAACGTAGGAGAATTTTAAAAAAAGACGAAAAAAAACATAAAAATAAAAAAAAAAGTGAGAAAAAAATTGGGTACGAATCGAGGCCTCATCTACCCTGGAGATCGACGGCTAAGCTATGCCTACACAACGCAGGGAGTCACCTAGAGATGCTGGGGTATAAGACAAGGGTGTGCACTATTCCTAAACTCAGGTTACACCTATTTATATCTGCCAACTGGCTTTAAACGTTCTCTTTAAAAAAACAATATACAATAACTTATTTATTTTCTTTTTTATGTCAAATTCCATATGCGTTCTATGGTGGTGGCACGCTAGTCCGCATATATAAATGTTGTGATTGATACGTTTGTCTAGAACATCTAGCATGCTGTCTGAACGTATCGTTACACTTATTTAGGAGCCAAGGAGGAACATGTTACGTGTTTTTTAGTACATTACTGACGAATTTTTATTGTGAAAATATCTTTTTACAAATAAAAAATAAAATTTTTATTTTGTTGTAAAATGTTGACAGAATATTTGTCGATATTTGCACAATCTATAAACGTCGGAAGTTAAAAAGCTACACAATATCACTTTTTGGGTTAAATATATCTTTTTTATATATGTAATTAACTGGTTATTTGTTCTCTACGTACATAGTATACTTACCTGCGACGCTGCGTAACATCATCGCTATATACATTTACAATAATGGACACTACATCAAGCCTAACAAGACTTACGCAAATTAACACAAAGAAGGCAACTTTCCAACTGCAAGGCAATGCAATACTACAGATGATGGATCTCGCCGCCCAGTTTGACGCTTGTACCCACCTGACCGAACACAACCGACATAACACGCCACTACGGGGACAACATACACAAAAACAAAACAAAACCAAACACAAAATAATAAAACAAAAAAAATAAAAACATAAAAACACTGACAACAACACAACGGCAAAGGGAAGAGATAGGTTCCACCGTATTCAGTTAGACTTGAAGTGTTAGTTCAGAGCTCACTGGGCATGCTCTCGCTACATGTGTCTTTACTAATATTTTCTCAAAAAAAATCCACTCCACACTCAAATAAAGTCATTCTAACAGCAGTAACTGAACACAACTTGGTACAAAATAATATTAAAATAATACTTTAAAGTGGACAAATAAGTGATCGAGTGAACAAGTCGTGTTACTGCTAGTATATTGATATCGGTCACGCATGTTAGTCGGTACGCCGTGCGGGCCTGGCAGTGGCAGGTTCTTTCGAAACGGCGTTCATTTACAGAGCTGGGATGCTTTGGATCAGTAGCGAGGATGTTTCGGGTTGGCGCATCACAAGCAAAAAATACTATTCGTCAAAATAAAAAATCAAAAAACAGACAAAAATAAAACAAAACAAAAAATAAAAATAGTCAAAAATAAAAATAAAATAAAATCAAACAGTCAGTATGACTAGAGTTAAATAAAAGATAGAGAGTAAGATAGAGATAGTCATATTCATACCGCGATGTGGTTTATGTTGAGTAATATATTTATATATCTATCGGGGTAGTCATAGTAACTGTTTGAAGGTAAATACGAGGGATAAGTAACATTGTCACAGCCTACTAGAGCATGCCAATGGGTAGTGGAAGAGGGGCGGCAAGTCAACTCAGGTATTAAATATAGAAAAATAAAATAAAAACGGGTAGCGTCAGACTGCATCTTAATGCGGTTCATGCACGGCGGTTATCATATCTAGTGGCGTTACGAGATAGCCCCGGTCTCATGACAAGTAAGGAGTATAGAGCAGGAGACAGCAGGGTGATTATCAAGACTGAAATACAGATAGATAATAAAAAGATCCATAAACAAATACATAAATGTCATGAAACCAGGTCTGAAGAAGTAAAATGAAATATAGTCTTGTTGGATAAATAAAAGTTTCTAATGTTTGCGTTATTGTTCGGTTGCCAATTTCATAATTATTCCATTTTTTATTTTGTTTTTTTGATATGGGTTCTGAACAAAATTAGTGACCGAACAATTAGTTATTTTCTACGTTAATCATGGGCCAAAAATAATGATAGCGTATACTACTATTTATTACTTTGTAAAGTGTTTCTCTGTGTAGGTATAAAAATAAATGTCTCGAAAAGAACAGAAGTATAGGAGAATGAAACGAAAAGTAATAAGGAGACTTGAAAAACAAGAAAATTAATTTAGAAATAAAAAATAAATAAACGAGAAAGATAAAATAATAATACGAAACAAAAACAAAACTAAAAAAATCAAATTACAATAACGTACAGTTATATTGAAAATCGTTTTTCTTTTACGGAGAGAAAAAATATTTTTGGTGTATTAATAATTTTTTAAAGTATAGAAAAAATATATATATTTGAATTTATTAATTATTTGTATCGACTCGTACTGTGAAAGTTCCCGCTTACTGCACGGACAAATCATAAGATGTGTAATAAAAAAATGATTTAACGTATCTCTATTAATTCTATGGTCGAATAATATTCTAAGTATATGGATGCATAATATTGAAAAATGGTGGTTATATTCGTTTGTATGCAAAAATAGTAAAAGTATATATAATAAGGACAATAGTTTCGTTGACTTAGCGTTAGGATGCCCAAGGTATCCGAAGTGTTGACCTGTTGACCTTTGCTGTTTATATAATTGTATGTATCGAAGCTGTAAAACTTAACTTATCCCTCTTTCGTAAGCTCGAACAGCCTGCGAGTCCTAATTTATTTTTTATTTTTGAATTTATTCATTTATTATTATTTTTGAATAACTACTATGACATGTTTACCTCATTACCAATTGGTTATTCAGTAAATATGCACAGTAATTGTATATTTTTTAATATAATATAGCATGGAATATCATCATGTATTTTGGATAACCAGTCTCGAATTCACAGCCAATATTTCATGATGTAACCCATGAGGATTTACTGACAGCTTCTTATAATTTATACGACTCTTTTAACTATTCATAAATTGTTATTGATTAAGTTATTCATAAAAATAATTAATTAAGAATGCCGCCAGTAAAAATATAACTGTAAACAATAACCGTACAAATAACTTTTAAAAAAACTTGTAAGTATTCAAATAACGGTTATTGTTTGCAGTTACGAAAAATTTATTCAAAGTCGAATAATTTATTCAAGTGTGAATAAATTTTTAGAACCATTTATAACCCCCGATAATGGTGATGTACATCGATCCCAACATTTATCCCGTTTTGTGTTCGTGTACCTATTATCCCGATAATTTCATATTAACTATAGTTTTTATATATTAATATGAAATTATTGTAAGCCCCAGACGAAATCCAGCGACCTTTCGGTTACTGAATTCAGTCACATAGCAGTTTTAGACGGATGAGATATACTTTTCATATAAGAAATCAAGGTTTATTTATAAATACAATAAAGGCTTTTTGTGTTTTTAACATGCCTTTTTTTGTACAAAGTTTATAATTACAGGTTAAGTAATGAGATCTCTTAGTTATCGTAATGTTCTTATTAGTATCAGTCTTATTTACAATAAAAAACAGTATAACTACACAATAACTAATTACTAATTTACTAAGAAAAATTAAAGCTTTGACTTATCACATTTTTTTATTCAACCTCAAACATTTAAAATTAAGCCACATCAATATGAAAATGTTTACTTATTTCATATTTTTTTTACAAGCACATGTCATCCGTCAAAGAAATGAGGTATCCCTGTGTTTGTGTGTGTGTGTCGTTTAGATGTTGTCCATACCTGAGTCTGGAGGCGCGTCAGACCGCGGATCCAGAGGATCTGGCCAGCTCGCGGCTTCTTATCCAGATCCGGATCGTAGTCTGGGCCGGGCTGGATAGTCTCTGGGTCGGGCTGACCTCGGCCCCATCTAGGTGAAACGAGAATATGTATATCACCACCAAGTATATAATAGGACGATTTTTGGTACATCTTTATACTGAATAAAATATTTGAATATTAGCTTCCGCCAGCGTTGTGTGTTGCAGCCCATGTGTTAACCTATCTAAATACTAACTTTTAACTAAATCGGTCTAGCAGTTTTGGCGTTAAAGAATAACAAACCTACAACCATAAATTCTCACAAATTTCCGCATTTATAACATTAGTAGAATACTTTGACATATTCACAATATCTTTGTTACTGTCGCTGCTCTTCTTGCGGGGGTCTCGTAGGACCAGATGGCTAGACAGACAAATTAACTAGTGGATACTCACGACAGTCTCTTAGGTATCTTCCTGGTGGGCACGGTGGTGACGAGTTGACCCCAAACGAGGGTCCCAGCTCCGAGGAACAGACACCAGAGCCACTGGTCTATCGACAAACCCGCCGTACTGAACGCCATTCCACCGAACTGGATTATTACTACCTGGAAACGTTTTTATAGTATTGTTGATTAAATGTTATTTTGCCATATAATTTATTTATCACTTGGAGGTATGAAAAATAGCCCGCAGCCAATTCTCAGAACTACTTAATATGCTTATGAAATACAGTAAAAATCAGTAAAGCCGTTTCGGAGAATTATGGTACTAATAATTTTGACTTTTTTAATTTTAATAGGTTAGAAACTCATGTCGAAAAAAGCATTTAACTGTAATTAGAAATCGATATTTCATTCATTAAAAATCCAGAATACATCATCTTGATTCTTATTCAAAGTTGGGAATATACACACATCTGAATTCTACAACTTCACAACTTGTCATCATAAAGCAAAAAATAAAACACAAAATACCTTTAAATGAGAGGTCCACCATGACAAATATAAACAGAAAAACATACCTGCGAAGCCGCAGTGCCGATCCATATAGAATAGAAGATGGGATTGGTAAATAATCCCTGGAACACATTTCTTTGGCCATGTATCTTGCGCGCATTGATCTCGTTGAAGAGTGTCATCATAACGAAAGTGTTGAAGATTATCGTGAAGTGCTGTGTCGGTTCGGAGCCTAGAGCCTGGCCGCGGCCTGATGGGATGTTCAGGAGCCTGTCGCCTGGAGGAACAGGGGTGGGGAGATTTGTAACGTTGAATATAGAAAGTACTAGCTGACCTGGATTCGTTCCGCCTCGAATTTAACTTAAGTTTTCTGACATTGCCACGAATAATGACAAATCCGTAAAGGCATTGTTGAATTGTAATATTACAACGAAAAGTGGCATTGATTTTTATATATTTATATAGATATTGAACTAGAATTTTGAACCTAATGCCATAGAATCAAGCTAAAATGCTTATTAAACTTCTTAACAGACGTTAATCGTCAAAATACTTTATACAAGGCAAGAAAAATATTCATTTTTATCTATTATATTTCAGAGTTCGGACAAAACATTGTAGTCAAGTAATGGTCCGTCTCACAAACGCTAAGTGGTCAACGTAAGGTTTTGAATAGACTACAATTATTATTATTACTAAAACCAGATTTTGGGAAGAGTTTTCTTCAAGTCCACGTGACTCACCGACAAATAGAAGCGAGAATATAATGAAGAGTTGGTAGATGGCCTGTCCGAGGATGTTCTTCATCATGGTGCGGCTGATGAGAGGCTTGGTCCGTCCGTAGGGCTTGCGCTGCAGCAGGTCGGGGGTCGGCATCTCCGTCGCCAGCGCCAGTGACGCCAGCGTGTCCATGATAAGGTTAACCCATAACATTTGTACTGCCTGTATGTGATACAAGGTTATGTAAACATTGTTTTTCCTTTGAAAGATCATTGCACCACATTAAAATTGTCTCATGTGTCATGGGTGCATTAACAATCATACTATTTCACCTACATATTACAGCCAGACTCGTAAGAAACACAAAGACTGGTTACATGTTTGTTGTAGAATCGAATCCACGTCATGTTGCAAGGCAGTCTTTTGCCCAGTCATAGCGTCAACTGTGGAGTCAAACTATTGTTTTGATAGTCTTTACATCAATGTTGCCTTTATCAAAACATTGTGATCATTAGCTAGATAGCTCAACAGCTATTGAAATGTTCTAAATGAGTTGATAATTTGATCTGTAACGACTGAAAGAGTAATTTCTTCTCAAATAGAAACAGGTTTTTGTTATTTATAAGATTTTGTTTGACGTGCAAAAGTGCTTATGTTAGTTTATTTGTAATAAATATCTAGACTTTTACTTTGAAAAATTTTACTCAGAATCTAGTAGAATATCCAACATACCTTGAGAGGACTGTCCTGTATCGCACAGGCTCCGATGAAAGCAACAATGACAGCGACTACGTTGACTGTAAGCTGGAACTGCAAGAACTTGGCGATGGAATCGTACACGTTACGTCCCCACATCACCGCCTTCACGATCGAAGAGAAGTTGTCGTCAGTTAGAATGATGTCTGATGCTTCCTTCGCTACATCCGTACCTGCGATACCCTGCGTCAAGAATTACGAGGTTACTTATTGTTATATGGTAGTCATATTTAATACTATAAGTGTGTGAGAGCCATGCTTCGGCACTAATGGATCGGTTCGACCGAAGTGAGACCACTGTCGTAAAACAACACATACGTTGTGTTTCGGCGTGTGAGTGAGGTTAATGGAGGCCTAATTCTTCTTCCCTCCCCCCATCCTTAATCCTCTATACTATAATCCCTTATAATCCACAAGAGCGCACACAACGCACTTGTAGTAACTCTTTTGGTCATACTACAGGTGTCCATGGGCGGCGCTGATTGCTTACCATCAGGTAATCCATCTGCTGGAATGTCGACCTATGACATAAAAAAACTGGCTAACACGCCAAACGTTGTTTAGCCATATAAATAATTTATCACTGAGGGGTATAAAATAGCCAGTCGCCGATTCAAACACTTACTGAATAAGCATATAAAGTTTGGTAAAAGTCAGTTAAGCTGTTTCGGAGGACTAAGGTTACAAATAATGTGACACTAGAATTTTATACCTATGTATATTATAAGATTTGTAAAGACCTTATAGGTCGATTACGACGTCCATTGAAAATGTAACAATAAAGGATTATTGATGCTAATAAGCGTAGAAGATGAAAAAGGTTTCCTTCCACTAGATGGCGCCACATTTGTTAAAGACCAAAAGAGGACCAGGAAAACAACTAGTATCAACTATCACGTTCAAAATTAAACCTTATCCTCTAAAATACAAGACTCTTACCATAGCAAATCCAACATCAGCCTTTTTGAGCGCAGGTCCGTCGTTGGTACCGTCTCCTGTGACGGCGACCACCTCACGAGTGTCGAATGCCTTGGACTCGATCATTCCCTTCACTAGCGTGTATTTGTCTGTGGGCGACGATCGTGCAAGTACGCGGAGTTTCGGCCATACTTTATCTAGTAGATGTTGTTGTACCTATGGGGAAGACTTTAATTAGTAATAATATTTAAGATATATTGAATTCAATCTTTAAGGAAGTTAGACTTATTTAAAACCTTTCTGTCTTCATATAAGATGCGAAATTATTTATTTACATCTAAACATCAGGATAAATATTTTTGTAGAGTATTATAAAAGTAGAAATAAGAAAATAAAAAAACTAGCAATTTTGCCTAAAGGAAAAATCAATAATACTTAAGGGAAAAATAATGACGATATTGAATGAATGTACATATTCATATTTTTTTTTAATTTAATTTTTTTAATAAAGGTAGTCTAACCCAACCATTTATTAATATGATTGCTTCCAACTAGTCAAATTCAATAGTTTTATCCAAACGTCAAAAACATTCGCAAGTTATTAAATGACGTCATAATATTTGTATTGAAACGTCAAAATAGTATATTTTTGATTAAGAAATAACTTATCTAGGCATTTTTGGATCACAGTAATTCAACAACAAGACATTTACACTGAAAAACTTGATTTAGAAACAAACAAATTGATCATACCTCGCCATTAGTATCCCTGATCCTCTTATTGAACTCCTTGCCTTCGAGAATGAGGAAGTCGTCGGTCGGTTTGAGTATACCACACTTGATGGCGATGGACCGCGCCGTGTTCACATTGTCACCAGTTACCATACGCACTGTGATGCCCGCCTTCTGACATTTCCTGATGGCTTCGGGTACCTGGGGACAAAGGAGAAAGTGAAAAAAAGTGCCTCTTATTATAACGAAACAAGGCTCAATCCTTTCCCTCTCCCTCTCCCAATCCCTTATCCCCAAAAGGTCGGCAACACACTCGTAAATTCTCTGTTCTTGCGGTTGTCCATGGGCGGCGTTGATTGTTTACCATCAGGTAATCCGTCAGTTCGTTTGCCGACCATAAAATACACCATAAAACGAAACACTATTTCATATATGGGGCAGCCCCAGAAAGTTATTACCAATACTTGTGTTGGGACTGGAAAGAGAAGAGTTTTTTTTTATGGATTTGGAGGGAACTAAGTTCGCCGCTTCGTGCATCGCGCAATGATGCTCCATGACTGTCCCAGCGTGGCTTGAAATTAGTCGAGGTATCTCGTCGAATAGTTACGTAAGTAAGCCGTTTAGCTTAAATGATCAAGTTAACATGACTCATTAAAGTTATAATACCAACACAAAAATAGCAGTATTTTTGTAAATACCTAAATCCTTTACCTTCTGGTTAACGCTCAGTACAAACCCCAAAAACGAATAAGAAAAGAACCAGAAGAAAGAACGATGTATCGATGAATCCTCGAAGTGTATGTACGCTCATAACTCTTGAACTACTGGACTGAATTTGATGATTCTTTTGTATCATATAGTTGGGACAAAAGTTGTGACAGAAAATGTTTACATATTCACATAGAAAAATAAAGCACCCAGGCAAGGCTGGGGCCAGGTCGATTTTGATTTTTTTTAAGTCTTTATGTACCTCTGGTCGCACAGGATCTTCAATACCGACTACACACAAGCAGGTCAGGTTGTTTACGATGTTGTCCTCGTCGTCCCAGTTCGGTTCCTGGTCTATGTGCACCTGGACAAACAAACAAACAATATAATTATAATTACGTATCTTTACAAGTTGGAATAAAGTGTTCTTAGAAAGAAAAAAGATCGGCAAATGAGCTGAGCTGATGGTAAAGAATCAGGGCCACACCTAGTAACGACAAAAAAAATTACAAGTGCGTCGCCGGTCTTTTGGAGAAAGGATTAGGGAGGTGTAAGGAGAGGGGAGGGATTGGGTCTCCGGTAACCTCACTCAGACGGGGATACAAAACGCTGTGGTTGTTTCACGCCGGTTTTCTGTGAGGCCGTGGTATCACTTCGGTCGAGCCGACGGGTATTAGTGCCCAAGAATGACCCACATTTAATTATTACTAACAAGCTACACTGCGCGGTTTCACCCGCTGCTCGGCTCCATTTGATCGTAGCGCGATTTTTTAGTCTATAGCTCTCAGGAACATTGTAGCTATCTATCAGTGAAAGACTTTTGGCAATCCGACCAGCGGTTCCAAAGATTACCCCCTACATACAAACTTGCAAATTTTACCTTTTTTTAATATAAGTATAGATTAGATATTGTTCAGCTTACCTGGTTGATTTCAGCCTTGCCCGGTACGAAGTCCCTGTAAGCGACGGAGATGGTCCTAAGTCCGTCACAGGCCATGGGTTCGATGACCTGTCGTACCAATCGGTCTTGCATGTCGCGCGTGAACTTTTCCAAACGACCTTCGTGACCGTAGATGAATGCGCATCTGTGGAAACCGAAAATTTATTAAAATTGAAGGTTTTTTGAAAAAGGGAAGTAATAGCATTGGTTTTTGATAGCTAATGTATGTATATGTGTATGTAACCTTTATGCAACAGTGCATAATGAGGGACTTTGTAGTACCTTAAAGACTTTCTTCGAGTGATTAGTTTTAATATAATCATAGCCTTGATAATGATAAGCATATATAAATAATGATACTAACTTCTTCAAAACGATTTCAGAAGCTCCTTTAGTGTAGAGTCGGTAGCCGCCCTTGTAGGGGATGACGGTGGACATGCTCTTGCGCACAGAGTTGAAGGTGTACACCCTGGTGAATGATTCCTCGGGGTGTCTCTCACGAACTGCCTCGTAACTTTGACCGAGGGCTAGAACGAAGCCCAGAAGGGCACACTCGGTCTTGTTACCCACTTGCATCGGAGGCCCTGTTGGATCTTGGCTCGGCTGTTGGGAGGAAAAAGGATATTGTTATAGCATGTCTAAAATATTTAAAAGTTATTTGCTTTAAGTTTCTGCTAGTGGTTTCGGCCAGAGTATCAGGGGAAGAAGTAGCCGTTATGTTATTCTATACTATAATCAGTCTTTGTGTCAAATTTCATCCAGATACGTTCAGTTCTTTTTACATGAAAGACCAACAAACATATATTGTTCGATGCAAGAGATATTTCTTCCTAAAATAAACTTTGAAATAAATAAAGAGATCATTTTAAAGAAACTCTTCTTAAGCAGAAGGCAAACCCAGATATTTTACTTCAGAAACATTCAAATATACTGCTATGTTATTAAAGAAAAATGAGAGACTATATTTCAAAATTGCTATGGTAATTTAGGAGAAAATTATGACTAATATCTCACCATAATTCTGGACGTAAAGGCAGCATTAACAGATATTCCTTCGACCATAGTTTCGGCGACTTCTTGCGGTATATCCCTGAAGTTAGGCGTGACCTTGCAGAGTTTCTCGCAGATGTAAGATTGTACTACTGTCATTCGGTTTGTGGTGAGAGTTCCCGTTTTGTCTGAGCAGATCGCGGTCGCGTTACCCATGGTTTCGCAAGCGTCCAAGTGACGTACCAAGTTGTTATCTTTCATCATTTTCTGTGGAAGAATGTACAGTTTTAGTATTCAAAAGTTAATTAAAATATAAATAAATGTTTAAGTAGCCAGTACAATATAAAGTAGTAGACAGTTAAAACTTTGTATCAAAATTAATGTTCAAATTAGTTCTACGTTAAGCTTGGGCTTATAAGAACGACTTTCAGCATTCGACGTTTAAAAGTTCTTACTTTACTGTCCTAAATAAACATCTTAGTCGAGGGTTATTAAAAGTCAAAAAATATAATTTTGAATGAGAATTTGCACTCGCCGACTTCACGTCGTTCAAATCTTTAACTTCTATCTACGTTTTCTAACCTAAGTCGCAATGAAAAAAAGAAACATCCAAACAATAAAATGATTAAATTGAATTATTGTCTTAAAGTTTTCTAAACCTTTGTTTATTTCTTTTTTTGTCAGTAAGAAACGTAATCAAATTCCAAACAAACCTTGACAGAGTAGGCAAGCGATAGAGTAACAGCGAGAGGCAATCCTTCAGGCACGGCGACGACCAGTACAGTGACACCAATGATCAGATGTTTCACCAGATTGTTGATATAAGTCGCCTTCCACGGTTTCTGTTCGATAACGAACGTATGCACGCAGAAGTTGATCACCAGGATGATCACCGTCAGAACTGCTATTGTGGAGCCGGCGTAACCGATCTAGAGAGGAAAATTAAGAAATTAACTACATAATATATTAAATGGTCCGTGCCCTTGTCATACGATTCAAAATAATTAATGATGAGGAGTTAAGAAGCTGTCGTCGTGGGGGCCCGGAGGTTAAGACTCTCTTCATACATCAGAGTACGGGTCACAAACTTGACAAGTACCAATGTGACTTTTCCCGAGTTACATTTAAGTAAGTACTTTCTATGATTATTTAGACACAATTGACATACGGTGAAGGACAACATCGTGAGGAAACCTGGACTTATAATTTCTAATTATAAGTTTGGAATCGCCAATCCGCCTTGAGCAAGCGTGGTGATTAATGCTCAGACCTTCTCCGTGTGAGAAGAGGCCTTTACTCAGCAGTGGGTACTTATAGGCAGATGATGTGAAATAATAATGTTTACGTACTTGTATGGCCAACTTGGTGAGCTTGGCTTGCAGTACGGACTTCTCCTTTTTATGGCTAGACTCTGGTGGGGGTTTGTCGCTGGTGGCAGGCACGTGGTTGTCGTCTGGTCGCGCGTGGTTAGCGCCGTGGCTGTTGCCCGACGCTGGCAACGTCGCGTCCTCATCACCTGCGTAGTACATTCAAGTTTAAGTATATTGCTTGTTACGGCGATTATCCGCTCAAATATGTTGTTATGATGATGTACTGGAACTTTGTAATTTTATAGGTATACATTAAGATTCAGTTTAGAGTATTAATTTGTCAATTCCTAAGCGAACGCCGGCGTTCGCGCACTTCAGTTAATACTATCTCCGTCAAGTAAGGCTAGAGAGTAGTAATTTTATCATAATGGGTCCAAAACAGACTTCTGATAATGTCAAAAATATTGACTTTGACGACTCAAAGTAAGTCATTTATTTAAGAATCATTATACCAATTAATTAAGGTTGAACTAAGATACAAACAATAACAATGCTAAATTTATAAATAAATCAGTCCCAGTACAGAATCATAATTATGTTCAAAACGTAACTCACTATCAAGAGGTTACGAAATTATATAAAAATGAGCTTTATACTTAAAGCAACAAAGTACATAACCCCTCGATTGCGAGTAAACGTTTTAATATTTGAGCAATTATCGCTTATAAAGTCAAGCCCAGAATTTAACAGAATCTCTAGTTACAGTGCCAATTGGAAAAATCAAATAGCTTTACGTTAAAACAGCCTGAAAAATAAATTACCAATTTTATGTTAAAAGAGGAGAAATTCTCAAAGAAAAGAGAACTTACATAGCTTTGACTGAAGGCTGTTTTTTGATAAACAAAAATAAAAAAGTGTGTCTACTTAAAAGAAGAAAATTAATTACTGATTTAATTGCTGTTATTTTTACTTTGTGCAAGTGTATTGCATTTTAGTCTATCTACTCTTGTACCTACCTTCTTAGTTAGAAGGTAAAACGCTTAATTACACTAAAATAAGTTAATCAATTACAATTAAGTGTTACTACAAAAGAAATGCACTAGGATGCTGTTAAGTGAAAATGAATGGTATTTTAATTAAAATTTTATATTAATTATTATTTTAAGATAACCTACAATAATCGCGAGAAAGATAGAAAATTAGTATAAGTAGGTATATATATTACTGTTTTTAATCTATTAAATACTTTATCTAGGAAGAACGCTACAGTAATTGTTTTCTATTATTGTAGTGCCTGTTTTTGTGTACACTAAAGGACAGAATTATATACCCAATCCCACATTTAAGCCCGAAGCTACAGAATAAGCACCATCACCAATATTTTAAGTATATGTTTATAAAGGTCTAATTTATCTGGCCCTCAGTGTACGGTAGTTTGTAAAGCGGGGCATAGCAAAGGAATTTACTTACCAGTCAAACTCTTGCGTTGCGTAGACTTGCGTTGCTGCTTTTTAGCCTCTACTCGAGTCAATTTTTGTCCAATATCCCATATATATATTGATAATATATTTATTTTTATCCAAAATATAATAAGCATACACATTAATGACAACGATTCGATAATATTTTGATTATACATCATGCAGTCAACACGACAGTCACACGATGCATCCAATGTGTATGTTTCGATTTAAGTTTTTTGGTTTATGTGTATTTTTTATTTTATATATTTTTGTTGATCGGCGACATGGAGATGCGTGCAGCAGGCCAGGGTCGGGGGTGGAGAAAAAAAAGTTGGATGTCATTGTACGGATCACACTATTTGGTTGTGGCACTAAATCTAAAGGGTTTTATGTCAATTGCTGTTTGAACGTTTGAGGAAATTGACACTTTAAATAAAACTAATTAAGAAAAATATTTTCTATCTTATATCAATCGAAATAAGATCCATATTCAAAGCCTCAACAGCTCAAACGTAGCGTCTAAAATTGCATTTACAAATGTATGCTTTTATGATTATTTTAATTATAATTTTAGGATTCTTGTAAAGAGATTATTTCTTTATTGTGACGAAATAATAATAGGACAACATCGAACGTACACATAATAAATAATATCGTACAAATGAACATTTTCGCTTTAAAAATATGACATGCTCTCACAAAACATTTCAGGCTATTAGTTAAAACATATAACATAGACAGACAACGTTCAACAAGACTGTATGGAACGACAATAAAATCAAGACAAGAAAATGACAATCCATATCATTCAGTCATCAATAAATAAAATAATCTCACTTTTAAAAACGAAACTGGCAAAAAAGATTCAAAATAATTAACTTGTACCAATAATTTTGGCCAGATTTGTAATGGAGAACTATTTTTTCCCAATTTCGTTGTATTTTTTTACTACCTCCTTTCAAGAGGGAGGTTAAGTGCGGTGGCTCAATGACAAGGGGGAGGGGGGGTCATACGTCACTGGTTACACTAATGTATGCACCAAGCATTGGGGCGTACAATGCTCATTTAGCAAAGCTAAAACATACTTTATAGTCTCGTGTTTAAGTATATTTTTGTTAAAGCGAAATCGCAGAAAGCGTTTAATCACCTAAATGAGCAGAGTAACAGATGCTAACTATCTTGCGGGATATTCGCTAAAGGACGACCTTTCTGATGACTTAGAAAGCTTAACATTTTCATTACGAAAACATTAAACTTTTCGGACATTGATAAAAATAACCATAACCAATGGACATCACATGGCCATCACCAGTTCATCAAAAAGGAGGTACATAACTAAGGGGACATCACTATGCTACATTAGCGAACACATCACAAAGTTCACTGACCTTTCTTCATTTGCTTGATTTCCTTCTCCTGCTTGTCTACAGCGGCGCCGAGGAGCGTGAAGATGATACCAGCTTGGGAGTTCACACCGACCGCTGTTACCAGCATTTTGCCGGAGCCTGGAAATCGAATCAAGACGATATAGTCGCATCCCAATAGACGAAGACTCTGTCAACGGATTCTTTTCACACTATGGACTGTTAGTAGAAACATAGTAGACACCAGCATAACACGCTAACTCTCAGTTAACGTCATAAATTGTACTTGCGCAAACTTGCGCTAACGACTTGATCTTGCGCAAACTTGCGCTAACGTTTTGCTCTTGCGCAAAACTATATTATACCCAGAAGTACTAGGCACATGTGCTTTTTTAATAAAGTTTACGTGAATGACTTACCTTCCATGACATGTGTACCGGATAGCACCATGGGATCAAACGCTTCACCCTTTTTGACATGGTCCGATTCACCAGTGAGCGATGATTCATCAACCTGTAACGTAGTGCATTGGTTAAAGATACTTATCGAGAGGTTTTTATCTATTTTAGTTTTGAAATAAAACGTTTTCCCGATTCAGGATTTTTCTCCTGTCTCGTGGGAGCGACCCAGACCCGGAACAACAATTTGTGGCTTGTATTGTGGATTTTGTAGTAGGGATTCAAGACTCGAGAATTGGTCCGACGACTATTTTAACTGCTGGTCTCTTTATATGTTTCCTTATACTAAAGAATTTACAAAACACATTCAATAATTTGCCAATAATTTTCGCCGGATAAAACCCATATTTATGTTGGACAAGAACCTAACTAGTAACCTAAGTCTGAATGCTGCTTATCACAGAAAAATGGCTGTTACATAACCTACAGGAATACAAAAACAATTACCGTACATGACCGTCAAACATCAGATCATAAAGTCTAAGAACATTCAACATAATTCTTAACAAAACATACAAATTAAATATTAAAATAAAAGATAAAAAAACGGCATTCGGTTTGTTCCTTATCTACATCAAGTTGGTATCTTCAGTAAGGGTTTTATCGACACAATCTTGGCTTTTTAATGACGCAAACTGTACAATTATGTGAGTTTGTAAGTAGCCGTAAGTATATCTTGGTGATATAAGTTTGACAGTAATTTATTAGATTGTGAGCTCTGAGATAAAAGTTTCAAGTGAGTTTGGTCAAGGATTTTGTTCATTATAAAGAAAATTTCTTGGCTTCATGAGTAAAGCATTAATGTTGAGGACGAGTTGACCTCAATATTTAGTTCTGCAAAGTGTAGTTAACACCTACTAGTTAAAATTATATATATAAGATAACAAAAATAACAGGTTTTTCAGTTGTGAATTTGTCACAAATATCACAGAATTGGAAATAGTAGGTATTTTTTTATAACACATGGCTCCACACTAATATTTTCTCCTGTGTCGTAGGTGCGGTTACAAACATACTATTACTAATTTATACATGCAACGCACTCAGACATGGAACCACAATTTGTGGATCACACGGATATGTTCCTTGAGCAACATGCAGTCCATTAGTACGATTATTAAATAATATAAATAAATTTAAGTTAAAATGTCAAAAAAGCTAAATTAGAGGTAAATATTTTCTTTTTTTTCGTACTACGACTATGTACACGTTTTTATATATAACATTGTTACTGATAACCTAATAACGCGTTATCAGTGTTTGATCAGTAAGGCATTCAGTTATCAATTGACGCAAACTGTCGATAGTGTAACAAATTACCTGTGTGCTTATATTTACTTTAAGGGAACCGATGTTGCGATATTATTTGTTAAGTTGAAGATTTCGAATCATATGATTGTATTTATATAGTCGATTATAGTATTTATACGTTTGATATTTGAGTTTATTGTTGCCGTATTTTTTTGCTACTGTAGGTTATTGTACAGGTGTGCTAAAGGTAGGTTGATTTTTGATAAGGTAAACATAGGTCAGGTTTTCGAATTGATTTTGTTGCTAAGCTATTGCCAATAGTGTCACATACACACAACAACTCATTATTACAACTGTTATGTATAAGACTAGAGCTATTCCGAACCTCCATGAAAGAGTCTAAAATATTTTTGCCATTGGAAAATCAAAATTCTTCTCTCGCCCAGATTGAGGCAGACTCTTACTGACTAAAACTCTAAATCTGTTTCTTCTTCTGCTCCAGCCCAAGACCGTGGTGTGGTACGTTATTGCGCTTACCCCGCCACATCTTAACGTTTTGTATTCGACTATTAAGAGTCATGAATGATACTAAGTGCAATTATTTTATGTGTAAACTTTTGTACATTTTCTGCTTACCTTCAGGTCATTACTCTGCAGCAATATACCGTCAGCGGGCAACAGATCACCGTACTTTATCTGACATATATCGCCACATACTATCTCGCTGATTGGAACCTGTCTGACCTCGCTGCCTCGAATCACGGCAAACTTATGTTCCCCTTCTATCCGAGATTGAAGCCCTCTGAAATTGAGATTGAGATCTGGTTAAAATTGAGTCAAAGGTTGTGGACAGATTACAGTGTAGTAAATTAGTTTATAGTAAAAAATATACTTGAATTGCAGACAAAAAGTAATATCTTTGATATTCTTCTTGTATTTTATCTTCACTAAGGGTATAAATTAACAGTTTTAGAATGCATGTAATTTACTTTTTTAAACAAAAGCTCAATAATCTATAGTCGTAGTAGAATTGGTAAATGAACACGTCTTCGGACGCCACTTTTGTAGTATAAGTACTTTAAAACATATGTATTTTAGGCTTATAAAACATTTCCAATACACACCTGAATTGCCTTTCTTTCGTATAATCGTTGAACGCAGTAACTATAACGACGACTATGACTGATATTAAGATCGCCAGACCTTCGATCCATTGATAATGACCTTCCTCTTCGTCGAGATGAGCTGGAAACATTTAAAAACTTATATTAGACAAAGTTATATATATATATAAAGATAAAAGACAGACAGATATCTGTTATAAGTTGTACTACGAAAATCTATGGTGCTACTTTCACATCAGAAATCTTGAATATTATCGGCCAATTACATCGCCTTATTTTACGTCATTTGAAATAAGAATAATATTTTGTCTCTATCACACTATTATTCAAAGAAGGAATACATTTGAAAATAAAGCGATCTTATTGGTTGAAATAAAATGTTTGTAGGTTCTCAATCTCTGATGGGAAGACAGCCTTGTCGCTATGGAAATAAAGTCTAAGATAAAATTGATGGATATCAAGGATGTGCATTTGATTGGAATACATTGGAATACACGTGTTTCTAATACTGTTCTAGAAGGATTAGTAAGGGTTGTTTGGTCATGAAATTACTTTACCACTTAGTAATAAGAGAAATAAAATAAAATTAATTTATTCAAAATGAATAATTAAGTCGTAAATAAAAAATGGCAAAACACAGGCCAAGTGTTAAAATGCTTGAAAATTAAGGGTGGTAAAGTAATATTCACGATAGATAAAGGTTTATTTTTAATAATACAATTTAGAATTTATAGTTAAGTTATAGTTTTTTAAATCACAATAACACCAATTTAGTTTATTTTAAGTATTTATTAAGTCAATTTTCTTTTTAAATCATTGCAACACTAAAATTTTGAATTACAACGGTCAATTCGGAGATTACTTACCTATCAGTTTCTTATCAATACCAATTAATACCAATATAGTATAGAAAATAAATATTTTTTTTGGATTTTAATTATTATTTTTCTCCCATTACAGGATTTGAAGTGCCAATTGGAATAAAGTGATGACTTTTACACTAAGCCTTTGTGGTAGCCATATTTTGCAAATTCGGCTTCGACAGGCTGTGCAAAAAGGCTAGTGTTACGTCACGTATTTCGTGAGTGCCGTTTCTATATTATCTATCAACCTAAAGGGTAGAAGCAAGCAATAAACTCAATTAATATACAGGTTGTATACTTTTTTTGGAGCCAAGGTAAAAGCATTTTTTTTCTTGTACAATACACTTTTTTGTGTGATATTGCTTGCTTTGGAGACTATGATAACTAAGGCATATAGCAAGGCTTTTAATGTGATGTGCAAAAACCACAATTGTCTGAATGCTTGAGAGAGATAGAACACATAGAAAGCTACCTCCGTCAGTTAAACAATTGTGGTTAGAACCACAAAAATAAAGCCAGGACAATTCAGCAAAGCAACTAAATAATAAGTTCGTCAAGATCATTGACTCTGTTACAAAATAACGAATATTCTGTTTATGCAAAATTGTCATAATAATTATTTCCAAAGAACAATAATGACAACATAGATTACCATCCACTAAACAATACGAGACGTCCTTTTAACACTTCATAGACAAACACCATTGAGGAACATTACTACAACAGTAATGCAACACAAATAGAGAGAGACAGAGATAGAAAGGAAGTAGAGACGGAAAGAGAAGGCGTCATGACCCGTATCAGGTGGCATACAGATTCAATAACGGTGTGGCATTTAATTTAATAGAGGCGGTAATATTCATTGGACTAATTGATGAGATGGTAATACTGCGACCTCCTTTGGCCGGTACACTGACTATTCCCGAAGATTACATGAATATTGACATAGATTTTGAAGATATTGAGGTAAAAAATAATGATAATGGTGTATTCGAATCTGCTGTTGATACGGGTGATGATAACATATTCGGTAATGATAATAGAGAAACTGTAAATAGGTTAATTGGTTTGAAAAGGATAACACTGGTATAAAATATTCTAAGACTAGTTTTTCGATGAACTTAGATTCCAATATAATGACATATTTAGAGATAAAAGGCTTTTGAAAATACATACTAAACGATATTATAAACGAAATACATGTTGTCAAATGTAAATTTCGAACGTGGCACGTTGAAATTTAGCTAGAATATATCCATCCATTTCACGTTCGAATATGGATTGGATAAGCCTCGCTGTGATTATGTAGATTCATTTCAGATCATTGAATTCACGTATGCTTTCACAGTAGCAGTTATCTGCAGCTGAAATCGTAACTTCATTATGATCATTTGATTGTGGACTTATGGAAAATAAATTTCGTTGACCGATTTTCTTCTTTATTTTTTACGTAGAAGGCTTCTTTTTAGTTTTAACAGTATTTGGTAGGAAGACCAGAGGTTACACAAACTAGCAAGCAGACAGACAAACCTACAGGGTTGGACAGGGTTATTAAAGTGCAACTACATTGTGGTACTCAAGATGTGCGCAACTAAATCAATTACATGCCCCATCACCATGGTCTATATCATCGACCATTTCAAGGTCGGAGAGAATCTTTTCGATAACAATCTGCATTTCGTAGTCGAATTCGTCGGAAAATTTGGCAGAAATGTTTATAGATACATCAAGTTGGCATTTTTTTAAATTCGGTTTCTTTTTCTATTCTATTTCGACTAGTAAATGCAGAAAACATTTTTGAAAAAGATCAAACTGATCTGGTTGCAAAAGGGTGTACTGCCAATTCATTACATAGTGCTGATATTAAGTCTCATTAAAAACGGCAATTTGAGGACATTTTTGGGATCAAAATAGGCCAATTTTTTGAACAACAATTAGTATATCAGCACTAATTGATTATATATTAAACCATGGTATAGAACGACACATAAAATATCCGAGCACAAACATTAAGAAACAGTAGCGTATCGATTTAGTTGCAAACTTGTCGTGTGAAGGATTTTTTTGCTGAACTGAGTGCATACGTTAGGAAATCACCTTCGTAGGTCCAGTATGCACCCAGAATAGAGGAATACTATTCGCCAATTGTACTCGAGTACCTACATAGCTCTAACAACGAACAATCGCGTACTTTAATCACATAATCTTACCAGGATCGTCTAATGTTCCATATTGTTATTGAAAAGAAAAAATACATAAATTAATATACTTACATTACCTTATATTTTTCTAATAGTACTTATACAATAAGTCTAGATATAACTTCTAAATCCGTATAGAACCTAAATATCTATCTACATTACCTAAAAGAAATTAAATCTTTGAGCTAATAGCGAAATAATAAACCTTTTCTTGGTGGGATGAATTTTGAGAACATAGCCAATTACATAAAGCATTTTTCCTATAAAAGACCTACTTATTCAACTATCGCTGACTGGAAGCTTTTGCAAAGCTTTTATGTACACACATAGACAACATCAAACGTATAGAACATTGTATTGAACTAAAGAGTTTGCATGTGGCACACGCGTTAAAAAGACGGCGGCGGGCAAAAACCGGGCTTTGAATAATTCAGATCGAGCACATGGTTCCCGATCGATAGTAACCTTTTCATGGTATCTTATGGTAACAGTTACGGCAATGACTTTATGGGGACTGGATATGTTACACGGATTGGACATACGTATAGTTTTGTACAAGATCAATACAATATATTGCTTCCGACTCAGAACTGTATGTGGTAATTTTAATTTACTTTTTATCATATATGAAATAAGGGTTATTATTGCGTGAAATTTTGATTGAAGCGGTCAATATTTTTCACACAGTTATGAGTCAGCGTACAGAGAGAATTTTAATGGTACCAATTATAGTGATTTTGCAACTGAATTTGAGAGACCTATGGCTGACAATCTAGGGCTTATTTAAGTTTAACATATTAAATCCTTGATAAAACTTACCAACATCAGCTGGGTCATCTGACGGTTTGTAGAAACTCAACCCTAAGGAGACTACAGCTGCAACCTCCAGAATAATGAGGGTCACATCTTGCAGGGCCTCCCAGACTAACGTGAGGAAAGTCTTGGGGGGCTTTGGTGGGATCAGGTTCGAGCCGAACACTTCGCGCCTGTGCTGCAGGTCGGCTTTCGAACCGCTAAGACCTGGAGACAAGAGAAAAATACAGGTTAAACATTGGTACAGAAACTTTGATTGATGATGAAGTAAGATGTTCTTATACATCCATAAGACATTATTATAGTTAACCTTTTCGATCGTTAAATCTAATCTTAAAACCTGAAGGTTAATTTCAGTTCCATCCAATGACGTCTTAAAGTTTTTATCGCCCAGTTACTGTTTGAAACTGAGACAAGAAAAACCCAATGACAAAACATGTTCTGAACTAAGAAAACACGCCGAACAAAAACATCTGTTTCTTTAATTACATAAACAAACACTTAAAGATCTTCTAATACGTTTGAAGTATCCGTCTACTACGAACCGTTGAATATTTCGATTCATGTCTCGATTCTAAGACCTCTCGATACCTATCGATTCGAGTAGAATCGATTTATTTAACTACCTTCAACTTTATTTGTAACTGACAGCCTCCTTGAGAACTCAAGTTGTACTCTATAATTGAAATAAATTCTTTTGATTTTTCTTTCTCGAATTTCTTTTATTAATATGATATTTGTAAAATTACGAATGAAATATTTGAGCTACTGTAAATACCAATACTCAATTATAATAAAAATATTATTTGTGCTTTGGAAACGTTATGGGAAGGTCTATTTTCGTTTGGTTGATAAATATCGTAAAACGAAGTTTGGAATGAAAGAAGAAGAAAGAAAGAAAGAAAAAGAAAGAAAGAAAAACCATTTATTTCACACACAAATGACGCAAGAAACAAACATACACGAATATAGTTAAAGAGGGACAAAACAAGCAATGAACATAAAAGAAAAAAAAAAGAAAAGAAAAGCACTAAAATTGCGTCACTCATGCGTGAAAAAGGGCAGCGCTCAGCATAAATGCTGTGTCTCGCGCACGCAGGCACGATACAACAGCGCTGGTTTTCAGCACTGACCCTCCACGCGTCCTTGCCTCGGGACTATAAAAATATAAAAATATTGACGCCGTTTCGGCATTACTAAATAAAATAAGTATTCAACACAGAAAATCAATTACACATAAGGTACACAATTAATAAATGTTAAAATGCAAAAAGTAAACTAAACAAAAAAAAAAAACAATAAATATTAAAACATGCCATAGACAAAACAAATCACAAGACGAGAACATCAAGATACAAAACATAGACAAAAAATTAAAGTAAAATAACAAGTTAAGTTTCGAACCATAGACAGCTCGGCAAGTGTAATATGTCAAAGATGTAGGTTAACCGGCCAATTGCACGAGAGATATATTGTTATGCAATAATGATGCCGGAAATTGTATCGAGTGATGTAATAAGTGTATTGTGTTATGATGCTGTGCGTGGATATGTTTTTGTATAAACAGAAGTATTAGTGTGGTGTGAGACGAACATGCTATAGCAATCACGCAGCATAGAGGATGACCATGCGGTACAGTGTGTGAGTTGCTTTCCAAGTATACATAAATCCAAGGTAAGAACAAAATAGTAAAATAAAACAATCCTAAAAATGAGAATCAACGTCAAGACAATTAATACCGATATTGTGAAATAGAATAATATGAAGAGAAAAAAAAATTAATTTAAATGTAAGAATTCATTGTGATACCAATCTTTGCCCATGAACAGATCCAAAAATAATATGGATGAAAATGGAATGAAGCAGAATGAGAATGGTGGTATAAAAGCGACGTATTCCTTACGATTCATATTGGATGAGCATGAACGGGTTGGTGATAACGTACCAAGTACCTACGCTACGCCAGTAATAAATTTATACCGTACAATGTACCATGAAACTGTTGGGAAAACAAGATGCTTTTTAGGTACCCTGCAGCTTGTCAATAGTATTTCGGGACCTACGTCTGAGTGAGTCTTATTGGATGGCTTTAATAATTTAATTAGCTCTTACAATCCGCCAAATAAAACTAAAACACCTTCCACGAAAACCGTTAACACTCAATAAATAACATTAACAAAATCCTAAAGCACCTAATAAAAATAAATAGTACATAAATTTTACTTAGAATGTAACAAAATAAATTTAAACAAACGGAAACTCCATGTCGGCGAAAAGGAAACCGACCATCATTATGTTGCCTCGCGGAACAAAAAAGCAATGGAGTTAGCATTCATTAACAAAAAGTTGAAAAGAAACAATCCAGTAAGGATTACATGTTAATGAAGCAACTACGCTTTTCTTTTCTTTGTAAAAAAAGATCTTGAAAATAATTTGACGTCTTCATCGCGAAACTCCACCGAAGATTGCATAGTTGCTAAATATTCATGTAGCCGGATAGAAATATAGTCTCGGGCTAAAATATGAGAGTTCTCAAAGCTTTCTTCATTTTAGTTAAGTCAACAAGCCTTCTTTACAGCGGCTCCATTCGTTTACTTCACTTCTTCGTCGTATTTCAACAAAATAAACCGGGTTTTGGAACTAGCTTTTAACATTTTAAAACGGAATCATGAAATTAATTCCTTTTCGCCGTTTGGTTTCCATTTTCCGTTTCTGTCAATCATATTATCAATCACAAACGCATGTACATCAATGTGATTGATTGATTGTGTATTAGTATCGTAAGGAGCATCGACCTCAGTAACATTGGAGTACTACATAAATATACTAACGAAACATGTTACTACGAGTCCGGACTACTTATAACTTTTACGATGTTCTCTATGAGATGTGTTGTATAAATAAAAAAATAAATATTTTGTTTATGCTTAAGAGGTTTTTAGTGATTGGCATATGGAAAACGAGAGAATTGACTCACACGCGGAGTGTTTGCGTATGTACATTTATGATTGTGTGTTAAATCTGTACCCGTCCCGAGATAGTAGTATCAAACATCCTCTCAGTTAAATGTCCGCGATAAGGCTCATAATCCGCGAATTTTACGAGAACATTTTTCAATCCGTGTACCTTCCTTATCGGGCTAAACTTGTGAATTTATTACATAGCCGTTCCTACTTGCGAAATACTCCTGCTGACGGGGTACCTATGAATATTTATGAACGGGTCCTTAAGGGAAGACCTTTTGGAAACGAGCGATGGAAATTTTAATTCAGCTTAAATATAGGTTTCGAATACATTTAGTTATTACTTATTAATCAATTTCGAGATGAGATTAGGTCAAATCGTTTGGGGATTCGGTTGAATTATCGATTTCCTTGTCGGGATGTGATGTAGGAAATGATTCATGACTAAATTTGAGCTAATTATATAGTTAAGGTTTGTTGTTTGAATCAGGGAAGTACGCATTGACAACATTAGCAGGATAACAACTACAAGTACTTAATGTGAAAAGAAATATCACTCTTAAAATTTACTAAGTAGTTTTATTACCTGAATGGTAATAAAGAGCGTTGGTAACAGCGAAAAATGTTCATTGTTCTGATAAAATAAGCATATGGCAAAACAATTGTTATAATGTATATACAAAGATAAAATTTGAGCCTCCCCTTTTCAAATTGTTCACTGAATTGGATCTCGTAATTTGCCAAATAAATTTAGCGTTATGCTTCAGGAGACGACATAAAAATGGAGAATTTGTTTTTGTTTTTTATTTCGGGACATCACTTTGAAAGTAAGGGGCGAAGGTTTGTGACCGTCCTGAAACTGACATCCTTTTTTAAGCTGTTTTTTTTACAACTGAAGTTATGTTTTAGGAGTTTCTGTTTGAAAATGGACTGTGATGTTTTCATTTTGTTGTTTCGTGTTAATTGAATTTCTTAATTCGATAAGATAGAGCTCATTCATGCTGCAGAACACAGTGTTTATAACTTTAAATATATTTTCGTACATTCGACCTTAAAGTTAGTCATAAAATTGCCATAATAACAAAATAATTCAGTGTTTGTGTATATTTTTTAGTTGAAACCCTCATTATTATATTTACCTTCCTCACGCCACCGCTTCCTAGTTTATCAATGAGGTTATTATTTTTCACCTAATGTTGTGTGAACAGCTATTTTAAGAATGACGTGAGGCATTCCTTCTGTTTAAGTTTGCAGTAGACACGGCATGGCTGTTAAAACCTGCATTTATACAATACTCGGCTACATTGCTTCAGAAGATTGGATCAAGTCATGCAATTTTATGAAAGTAACAAAAACTATGCTCTTTATAATACGTCGTGGGGCTTTTAACTACGTAAAAAAAGAAAGAAACTAGAAATTGATAATGATGTGTCCTTTTCGTAATTAAAAACAGGTGATATTAAAAATATAGAATAAACAACAAACAGGTGTACGAATGACGTCAAAGAACATATAGACGTAATAAAACTGCACTGAATATGATAAGACGAATTCCTTCATTCAGATATAGCAAGCAATGAATGGGACGTAAAAACTAACGAATATTTTAAACTGATACACATGCACTGAATCAGAATAAAAAATGAACGAACATAACCGACTTCAGATAAGCTTTCCAATTCTACTTACACTAGATTTTTTTGCTAATGGAAATTTCTCGAAAGAATACTAGAATATTCTTTTTAGTGTCGTTTTCTTTGCTATTTTCTTGATTAAGCGTGTCTATGGCATTCCTAAATGTTCCGTACACACCCCATAATGTTCTTGGTGATGTAATATTTGTGCTTGTATGATGAATTCTTGAAGAGAAATTCTTGACGCCAATTGTTTGCTAAGATTCGTTTGTCTTATGAAAAGGCTGTCAAGTGGATGATATATCTTTGCTTATGGCTTTCTGACTCACTTATGAATTAACTGATGATATAATGACAGTGTTTTATTTTTTGTTTTTGTTTTCGAAACACATTTCTTTATTACATTGTTGTGTTCAGTTTATATTTTACGTCATCACCACTTACTTAAGACAAGTGTTCGGTAGAAATTTAAGATGTTAACGTAAAGAAATAGTTTAAAATGTATACAGAAAACTGTGAATCATTGAGGAAGATGCAATATTAAAATATACACGTAGAGCGGTTAAAATTGAAAGTGAGGAGGAATTTTCAAATAAAATTTCAGCTGTGC